TCAAAAAAATTATTTCAGTGCCATAAGGTGTATTAGAATATCTAGTTAATCGTAACATAAAATAAGTAGGCAATTCTAGTGAAATGACTATTCGTTTAGGGTAGGTTGTAAAAGTACCAATAGATCTTTAAAAAGAGTTATATTCACCTAATGTCATGTAACGTGATAAATGTGATAGTTGAGTTTTTCCCACATTTATATGATGATATCTTTTGAGAAGCTAGTTTTAGCGATAGTTACTATAACCATGAGACCTACTCATATTGATGTCTAATATCACCTAATGTCACCTCGAGAAAATGAAACTCTTCATACTAGCAAGACTTTATTTTTCGAATTAAAAGGCCTGGCCTTCCTCGAAATACACATTTGCCCTGTGACCCAAAAGACTCGCGTGGCACTGTAGCCAAGTGGTTAGCGTGTCAATCTCCCATCCTGCATTGTCGCGGTTCGAATCCCGCTGGGGGTGTTGCTAAGGCCGGATTATGCCTATTCACGTATCTATGATTGTCTATGAATGCACATATGCATGCAGGCATGTACGTCTGTGGATAAGTATGCATGCTAGTATATATGTGTGTTTGTGTGTAGGTATTTATGTATTTATGTATGTTTGCATGTATCTACGCGTATAGGTAACTATGCCTGACAATGAATGTCTATGCGTTTATGTATGTGTGTACGTATATATTTATGCATGTAGGACTGTATTAATGTGTGTGTTTCGTCATAGATGCATGTATCTAAACTTCTATGTGAATATAAGAGTAGGCAAAAACCTAAATCTTGGCCGCAAACCAAGCATTCAATTGATGAACGGTATTTATTGTAGAACAACCGACTCAATGGTCAACTAACAAACAAATCATTATGCTTGAGTAAATAAATAACACTACGTTTGCCAGGCAACCATCCAATCCATCTGTTGGGTCGTAATAAAACGACCAATGATCCAGGCGACCGCAAGGTCCACCACCTTTAATCAACCACACCCAAATAATTACTTATCCGGTCATTCAAGCCACGACACAATCCACCAACCAAGTAATCAGACGTCACTCAAAGCCCACCCAACCGCAGTCGTTCAGCCAACTTGAAAGCCAGCAGTCCGTCGGCCGGTCAGCAAACTTGGCTTGGCCACGACGAAATGAAGAAGAGACTCCACCATATTGTGTGTATAGCCAACTTTTGTGCCCAAAGCACCAAGTGGCCGGTGGGGCAGATTCACTCTCAAATGAGGGTCATTGCAAGTTGGGGACTCCTTGGGATTGCATAGACGACCAACTGGAAATCGGCCAGTTGGCCACTTAACACAACGGGCCTGGCGGTACCTGCCAGTTGAGAGGAGTGGCAGGTAAGACCTTTGCAGAAAATAGGGACCAATCGAAGACCAAGACATTTGTTTATTAATTTAACTATTTCCAAAGCGGAAATAACAAATAATGCCAATATACACAGTGGAGCAGACATACCAATACACACACAAACATACACGTGCAAACGTGGGTAAGAATTCATGTTTGTTTGTAGGTATTTATGTACGTTGTGTGTATGTATTAATGTATGAATTTATTTATTTATTTACTTTTCTATAAGTGTATGCATGTTTGCAGGTAGGTATGCTTGACTATGTGGGTATAAGTGTATGTTTGCATGCATGATTCTGTCTATTCGTGTATCTATGATTGTGTATGAATGCACATATGCATACAGGCATGTATGTCTGTGGATAAGTATGTATGTATGTGTGTGTATTTTTTCAGTGTGTATATGCATATATGTATTAATGTGTGTATTTAGTCATATATGCATGTATCTAAACCTCCATGTATGTATGTGGTCTCTATTTTTTATGTGTACAAGGGTAGTGATTGATTTTTTGAAGCTGAGACTAGTAGACACGGTTAGAGGAGCTGAGCGGCCAGAGTACGTCTCCTTATGGCCTGACTGCTGTTCGTGGACCTGGAGCCAAGAGCTTGGGCTAGTGTCAAGTGCACGATAAAACTCCCCATTACTCGGGCCTACAAGAAGAGGAGTTGCGAGAGAATTGGCCCAGGCAGCTGGGGCATGAGTCAGAGAGACGAGATAAACAGAAACAATAGAGGAGATAAAAAGTTATCTCCGTCAGGACATTGGCCGAGGGTAGAGGAGAGACGAAGTATTTACTGAATTAAGACAAGTCCCGATGAGGGCATCCATCCTTGGCTGTAGAGCCGTATTTTTGCGATAGCCTTACTTGAAACTAAAGTCGTTCAGTCCAGCCGGAATAACTCGGAGTCTGGAGGGACTTGCGACTTGCAGTGCATCTTCACTCGTGAGCTGAGCCAGGAAAATGGGCCAACAGACGAGCACAAGAGGCTTGGGGTGACTTACGAAAGTATACCTCGAAGGCATGAAGGCCAAGATGGCATGGCCGTTGCCATGGTCACGGTCTCCTTCCGTTGCATAGAAATGGTACCAAGTCGAAGGTACGACGCTGGACATTTTCATTGTACAACCCTCCGGACAGGTTCTGGCCCAATACCAGAAGTTGTTTGACCTCGTTTTCGCAACTC